TTTTTTTTTTTTTTTTTTTTTTTTTTTTTTTTTTTTTTTTTTTTTTTAATTATCGGCCGCGTTCGGCCGCGGCCGGGGGGGCCCCGGCCTAGGCCGGCGGCCTCGGCCGTGGCCGAACCAGGCCGCGGCCTGCGTGCAACATAGGGTAGGTGTAAAACGAAAATAAAAAAAGGTCTGGGAAAAGTTGGCAAGTACCGGGACATTTTGCAAAGATAAACAGTACCTGGTAGGGGTATTTGGCAAAGATAGCGGGTCCAACCGATGCCAGGGGCATTTCGCAAATCATTTTTTGTGTCAGAGGGGTATTCCACTCTACCCAAATCTTTGAGGGGCATTTTGGCTTATATCTCAACTTATAGGGGTATTTGAACCGTATTTCACAAATTATCCCCCCCCCAAAAAAAACACAGAAGGGGTAACTTCAGTAAAGTCACAAAAATGAATTGTAATTGCTTTATGGGGCAAGATACAGTCTGCAACACTTCAGACACCCTACTCCTAGCCAGAAACCTGGGTTGTATACATTGCCCGAACTGCAATTTGAAACTGTATCTTGGCCCATAGTGCAATTATAACTCATTTTTGTGATTCCCGCGTAGTTTCCCCAAAGGGCCAAAACAGAAATTTCAGAAATCACGGGTTGGTTATACTTCGTTTACAAAAGAACAGCCGCAGCCTAGCAGAGAGAGAACTAAATCCTAAGCCCTAGAGTGGGGAACGGGACTAAAAAACAAAACAAAAAAAGGAATGCTGGGGAGTGGGCCCCTCAACGAGCAGAGGTAGCAGGGGCTTGGGGGGGTTGGGGGGGGGGGGGGGGTCACCAAAATCATGATATTTCTAGGTTTGAAGGTCTGGTTAGGTAGAATTCCCAAGGTCTGCTGAAGAGAGGGAGAGAGCACCTCTTCCAATTCCCTCCCGCCTTCCCACCTCCATTGGCACTGCCTGCCTTCCCTAGGAAATCCAAGTGCTGTGCTCAGGGACGAAACGCCCCTCACCCCCCATCTCACCCACCCCAAAAAAGAAAAAGAAAAAAAGAGACTGGCTTGCCCTCCAGGACCACATCCGCCTAACTCACCTGTGCATGAAATTTTGCAGGGTCTGCCAACAATTCGCGTGTTTGGAATTCAGAGAAATTTTGAGGATGGATTCATGGAGAAACTTGACCAGTGGGTTGCTATTCCCCTCCCCGCCCCTTCCCCTCCCTGCCCCTTCCCCTCCCCGCCACCCCAACCGTCCCCTCCATCCCCCCTGCCCCCAACCCTCCACCCTCCACCCACCACCTCTCCCCGCCCACCCTCCGCCCACCCTCCACCCTACCCCCCCTGCAACCTCCACCCTCAATCCTCCACCACCAACACCATTGCCCTTGTGGTTATCCCTACCGACCTTCCCCTGAACTCAAAGCACCCTCGTTATGGCTGTACAGGACCAGGAAGATACCTTGTATACATCAATAATGGGGGTGCTTTGTGTTTGGGGGAAGACAGCTGCCCTTCACACTTCTCCCTGTCCTTTCTCTCTTTCTTTTTCTTTTTCTTTTTTTTTTTCTTTTTCTTTTTTGGAAAACATGCCCCTACCAGTGTTAGTGCTGCTGATAAGAGCAGACACCACTAACACCAGGGGAGAGGCTCCATCTATTGGTGGGGAGCATCACCTGCTGGAAAACGGGTCCAGCGTCCCATATACAGAAAATGAGAATGTCTGAGAACTCCCTGTCCTTTCTCAACTCACCCGAACCCAGATGAACAGCACTATTCACACACTGAAGGCCTTACCCCAACGACATGGCGCACGGGTAGCTTAATTGGACTACCCCTGTTAGACCAGGGGCTTCATTTCCCCCCTCCTTTTTCATAAGGGTCTGCTAGCCCCAGCACTCTTGTATCCCTCAGGATTTGAACTCGTTATCTCCTCGCCAAATGGGTACATGCTTGTGGTTCCCAGAGGGCGAGGTCCCACTAGCAAAGAGGATTGGACTTAACGCCTGAATGTGGACGCCTTTGTGGAGAGGTGCTGGAAGTCGCGATTGAAATGCTTTTCCGCATCTCTACGCAAAACTCATCCAGATTCAGGTGCTTAATCCAATCCTCTTTGCTAGTGGGAGCTCACCCCAGTACGTACTCATAAACTGCACCAAGTAAACTGGACTTGCCTTTTTTTCTTTTTTTTTTGGTAAGCCGGGGCAGCGTCACTAAGGGGGTGATATGAGCATCCTCCTTTTGTACGCGATCCCGTTGCTCCAATCTATTGGTGGGGAGCCACACATGCTGGATATGTCCTCCTTTTTTTTTTTTTTTTTTTTTTTTTTTTTTTTTTTTTTGTGCGCCCTGGATATGTCCTTCGGACTTTTCCCAATGCTACCTGCTGTTGAGTTCCCATACCTGTTTTATTATTTGAATTCATTTCAACCATTTGATTATTTTATTTTATTTTATGCCATGGATGAGTCCTTGGGACTCCTTCCCAATGAGACCTGCTGCTGAATCCAGACCTGTTTTCTCCCCCTCCTGAAAACTCCCTACCTAGTAGAGTTCTCCTGGTATGGACTGAAATAGCAGGCTTATGATAGCTTTTGAAGCCTCGCTCCACTATACAACATTCTACACGCATTTGGACGCTTTGTGGACTCAATGCATTCAAAATGTTGGACTTGTTCAAATGCACCTGGCCCAGAAATGCGATCAAATGCATGTAGAGTGTTGTGTCGTGGAGCCAGGCCCTTGGTCAAAATAAATACAATTAGGTTGTTATGGAGTGGGGACATGCCAACACAGTTTGTGTCTTGAGAGGCTCTGGGCCAACTCTATTCTGTGACACTGTTTTCTTTTTGTTTTTCCCTTCTCTCTCCATTGTGTGGCACCGTGTGGCGCAGGCACACTCGAAGCTACTTTGCATGGCTTATCTGCGGTCGCTGGTTTGGATTCCAGCTTGACAGGTATTTAAAAAATAACTAAATGACAAAAAGTTAATAACGAGTTATAATTGCACTACGGGGCCAGATACAGTTTGCAATTGCAGTTCGGGCACCCTACCTGTCCAGAAAGCTGGGTTGTATACATTGCCTGAACTGCAATTCGAAACTGTATCTTGGCCCATACTGCAATTATAACTAATTTTTGTGACTCCCCAGTAGTTTCCCTTCCTTCTTGACCCGAACATTATGCCCCGTCATCAAGACAAGGTACACAGGCCCAGGCCCTGATCCGGCCCAAATACAGTCATGATGCAAGGGCACCATGTTTGGGGGAAGAAGGTACAAAAAAGCATACCATTTCTAAATTCCTTTTTGGGGGGGGGTATCTGTTCCCATCCCTCTATATTTTGCCTCATTTTCTCTGATGCCTCCATACCTCTCCTTTTTTAGGCTTTTTCCCTTAAACCACCAGTACACACCCGCCCAGGGTAGAGCCATAACACTCTGTTTTTTCTTGTTTTTTAGGGCATATGTACCCCAGTTAAAGATGGGAATACCGGTTATACCCAGTCCCAGCGCCAACTCGTGTCTATACCCAGAAAACGGCTGGTGGAAATTGTTTGCATTCCCTGGACCGAGGTGGACCACGGTTGGTACCGCAAAAACTACCGGAATGCACAAATTATGGACATACCCAGGCAAAAAATTATGGGCATACCCGGGACCTAAGGAGGAGAGGCCAAATTGTTCATATACCCTGCTACCGGATGGCTGAAATTATGCTCATACCCAGCAGCCGTTGGGCCAGAATGGTCTACTTGGTGGGCATGAGCATAATTTCGTGCTCCCAATCATGGCCTGCGGGATTGGTTACAGCTACAGTTTTCGCACAGGGGAAAAGCTGGGTACTAGTATGCAAAGGTGAACGCCCTCCGGGCATAGTTGCAAGTCCGTGCTGGGACTGGGTATAGCGGGTATTCCCATCTTTAAGTGGGGCACAAATGCAATTAATCCCTTAAAAAAAAAAAAAAAAAAGGTACTCTCCCAGGGTAGGTCCAACAACGCACATTAGAAAGAAGAGGCACAGAGGTAATGATTTTGTATTGGTAGATTAAACTTTAAACTTTAAATGCCTCTAGTACTCTTGTGCAATGTGCAGTCTGCTCCTCCCGCCTACTTTGGGAAAATTCCCCGAAGTATTCAGGGCTCCCACCAGCAGTCCGTCGATCTTTTCCTTCACGCTCCTCGCCTTTCCTCGCGCTGTTTTCAGTTCAACTGCTTCTCCCGCGTCCGGTGGCTGCTTCAGTGTTCTTCCACTTAGAGAAGCTGTAGCAAGGCCTCTTTTGCCAGGATTTTTTTTGACGGTCCGTTCAAGCAGCGGCGGCACTGAGGCCATCTGCTCCTGTGTCGCCCCTGTGATGTGTTGGGGCTGGAAAAGTCTCAAAAGGGTTACGAAATCCATGGATTGTGGAGCCTCATCGGTTATTATGAACTGCGCGCCATACTTCATTCAAACCACCAGTGCGTTTCCAGCCATTTTCTCCAACGCAGCGCATGCATGCCGCAACTTTCGGGGGTCAGCTGCCAGATCAAAATGGCTGGCAAAAGGGGGGCCGCACCAGTTCTATTATTTTGGCTCGCAGGGCATCTCGAGCCTCGGGCAAAAGAGGCTCGGAAGTAAGCTCTTCAAAATATTAATGGTAGAGCACAAGCCTAAAGGCCGCCAGTTGAACCAACAGTATGTTTTCCGGCCATTTTTTTGAAGTCGCGGCTTGCATGCTCCCGCAAGTCTCGGGGGCCAGCTGCGGGACCAAAATGGCTGGCAGCGCCAGCCAAAAGGAGGCCCATGCCAGTTCGTTTTCCTTGGCATTCAGTGCGTTTCCAGACCCAGAGAAAAGTGCCTCGGAAGTGCTAATAATAATAATAAAAGCCTCCATTTGGGCATTTAGTGTCATATATACCTCTCAGATAAGTGCACCCGTATTTTGCAAGATATTGTTATCTTTTATCCCTTCTTTTTTCTGATTTTGCAGAAAGTTTGCTCTGGTGCCCTTAGGTACTTTTCTTCACTGCACAAAAGTATTCCCAGAGGCATGGGGGTTTGGGGGGGAGGGGGGGAGTGTGATGGGATGGGGAATCATTTGCAAACTTGTTCTGTAGGTAGGCATTTCAGTAATATGGAGGCACAGGGGCAAACAACATAACAGAAGAGGCATCCAATCAAGTACAAGTAAGGCAAACCACAGAGGCATTGGAGAAATATTATTCAAATATACCCTTCAATTTTTGCGTTTGTTTTTTGGGATACAGTCTACACTTTTAAACTCCCTTGTCTTTAGCAAAATAGTAAAATACTGTTATACCGCGTTTGACGCGGGGATGCAGCCATTCGGGTAGCATGTTTTATGTTCTAGACAGTAAGCTTGGCAAAGGTCTTATGAAGTGGGGAATGGGCAGCCTTCTGGATTTGGTAGGCTTTTTTTTCCTTAAGGGCCCAGTGCCCAAGGCTTGTATTGATATTTGAGAACATTGAGCCCGGGGTCCTCACAGTCTACCCGGAGTAACCAACATATGAGGATGAGGATGAGGATGAGGATGATGATGATGATGATGATGATGATAAAACTGATGCTTTTCTGCTAATCAGAATCATGATGTCTGACCAGTCGCACTCTAAGTGCTAGCCAATAAAGAAGAGTGATCAGGAAGGCTAATCAGAATGTTCTCTAGTACTCAGAACTTCAACATGAAACCCTATCCTAATTCCAGGTATTTCTACCAATTCCAGCAATTCTCATCTGATGCTGTGCTGTGTACCAATCCCACCTCTACCCAGTCTCACACCCTCTATTTAGCTAAGTTACAGGGCAGCGCTACCCGCCCCAGCTCCGATCATCGTCGGCAGGATTGTTACCGTCAGTCAAATTAGTGGACTGCCTTCCTCCCTCAGCAATCCCCAGATCTCTCTACAAGACCTCAAGCTCCTAGATAGGTTACAGGGCGATGCCCCAGCACCGGTCAGCATCGTTCTGGCATCAACTCGACCTAGGCAAGTGCACATTCACGTCTCAATCTGACAATCAGCAAAATTGATAATAATACCTAAAATTAAAGGATTTGATTTAGTCAAGTCCCCAGCAGATGACGTATCTGATGAGGGTGGTGATGATAATGATTGACATCAGTAGATATGGATTCTATTCCTCTTCCCCCCACTGTTCCTTCACGCCCCTTGTTGCCTCCGCTGAAATGAACCGCCCTGATGAGTAGTCGTTTTTCAGCCCCAACCTGGGACAGTCCCACTTACAGCCGTACTCACCATTAGGTCCTACCATTCCCCCCAAAGTATGACCCAATCAAGCTGTTGCCCTAATCTGCCACCGCTGGATTATCGGCCCCAGATTAGTGCAATCCCCCATCTACTTCCACTCCTAACAGAGCATCACTTCCCACCTTGCGATGCCCTTATAGAGTTTCAGTTTTCCCCCACCTTACCCACTTACCTTTTCTCATATTCTAATGAAACGCAATCAGAGGAATTTTTTGAAAAATCTAATGATGTAGATGCTGCTGCTGTTGATGATGATATTGATGATGATAACCCTTGATGTAGATTCAACTTCCCCTCTCCTCCCCTGCCTCTTTCCCCCTCTTCCTTTCCTCCTCTCTCTGTGCTGCCCCCGCTGAGCAGAATCGATCTGCAACCAGTTTAATTCCCTCAGCCCCAGCTAGAGAAAGCCATCTCCTCTTCCTTTATTCCCCCGAGTAATCAGTCCCCCCCACTGATTTATCTCAAGCTAGCTGTGCCCTAATCTGCCACCGCTGGGATCTTCCCCAACCCCAAGAACACTCCCCCTTCTCTGCCTGTACTCCCTCGAAGGTTAGCACCTCCCTCCTTGCGCTTCCTTTGTAGAGTAGAGCTCGCCCCATCTTTAATCCACTTACCTTCTTGTCAAATCTGACTCAGATGATGGTGATGATGGTGGTGATGATGTCAAAATGATTCTACAAAAAATTTAGCGAGGGAACTATTTGGGAAATTGTATTTCGAAAAGGGGCGTGAAATTCAATGCCGTAATGATAAATTGGATTTAGAGCAGACACAAGTTTGCTCTGTGGATGATGGCGTCCTGCGCTGAAGATAATTAGTAAGAATAATTAATATTGATATTGAGGTTTATATTGTCGAAGTCAATAATGAGAGGAAATAAGAGAATATTTTCCCACACCCTCGTCTCCTACGCTCCTCCCTTCTACTGGTTTCCACTAACCCAACTACTTGCCTCATTTCTTTTTCCTCCCTTTTCCAGTCCTCTCCCTCCTCCCATTCTTCTTAGTACTAACACTTGTTGTCGTCGTTCTCCATTGACCACCTCGTCATCCCTCCCCCCTGGGTCTGACGAGTAAAGCCGTGCTAGTAAAACGAAGTGTACAGTCTTCAGATTAATGGGAAGAAGGAAGAGAGAAGCCGGAAGGGCGGGAATCTGATACAGAAAGAAGACTTGGAGTCAAGTACGGAAATCAGTGAAGAAAAAGGGGCGTATCTAGAAACTAGAAACGAGCGGTGAGAGAGGTGATGATGTGGCATTGATTAATAAATTAATGAATAACTGTTGCAGAAGATGACCGTGGCAGCTATATTGCTGCTGATGATGATGAAAACTGGTGATGTTCACGTGAAGATGACATATGATGCTCCGCAACTTGCGATCTTGAATCTCTTGGTGCTCTTGATGAAAAACGTGCACTAAACACGAACAAAAACAAAAAAAAAACACAGATAAATTTGATGATGACCCTCCAGCTTGATGATATCCTCCCACTCTGTGTTGAAGCTTTAAATAGGGCAAGCGATCTCCACACTTCGGTCTCCTTGGGGCTGATTCCACTTTCTTCCACCGACGTCGACATTCGCCAACTCGCAGGAGCTCTCCAGCCTCTTAAGGGCATCAGCTATGGAGTACATCATGTGGAAGAGATCGGGAAAATGTTCAAATAGCAGCCACCGCCACTATTCGCCT